TTCTGCGTTCAAACACACGGGTAAATAAAGCCATCTAACTCGGACACCATCCTGCACAAGAATGAGGCATTGTTATTGCAGTGAGGAACATTGGCAAGGATGTGACGTAGCTTCCGAACCAATGCTACTCATCACAACACGGATAGTGTTTCCAGGTACATCAGGTAGCACGGCTTGTATGGTCATGGATTAACCAGCCAGATGGTAACCGGTTTTACCTCCGGCTGTACCATGAGCTAGAGGACAAAGTAACCGCTAGTTAATTGCTGGTTTCGTTTGAAAAACAATTTGGCCGATGCATGTAGGCGCGACTCCAAAGTGGCTACAGTTCTTTTTTCTAGAAAGAATGAAACAACAATGCAACAATTGTCGAAAAAGCAAGGCTTAACAAGCCCTGGAGTATATAAAAAATTTTGAAAAGAAATGGGTTTAATAAATGAGAGACGTTTTGGTGGACTCGATATTCACACTGAGGCATGCGTAAAAGAGCCGATATGGTCACATGATGGTATACATGAAACCACCTGTCTGGAGTTTTAAAAACACACCGTTTACTTGTGCTTTGTAGTCTCTTTGTTATCACACTATAAAATACAATGTTGGCCAAATTATTATAAATTCATTAGAGTTCTTCTTACTCTTCTGCGTTACGGTAACCAATGAGAAAACAGTTGACAGTAATGGAAACAATTATTTGTTTTATACAATTTCTCCCGATGTTTTATATTTCATATGGCCGATGAGAAATCGGCACTTGTTACACTTGTAGTCATGTACACCAAAGATCACATCTCTATCTTAAGTTTTTATTTCCTACTGCAGTCCATATTTCCGAAGTACATTTGTCTGCTTTTGGATTAATTTATGTGCTTATTTAATTACGCTTATTCTTATGTTTCAAGCCATGTTCTCAAGTGATGACACAATCTTATTGATCGGCAGTTACTAGACTGTATTAGCATATTAATGGGTTAAATTAATTCAACGAAGATTTCAATTTTGTTGTAATGTTTTAATTGATCAGAAATTGCTATCAAATTTGGTGTTAGCCTAACGTATATTTGCCAACTGAAAAAAATTGCAAAAGAATTAAGCCCTGTCGCATAAACGTCCTGGTAAATGTGATCGCAGAAGAGCAACAATAGCTCAAGACGACTCACTTCTGCTTAGGGAACGCCGAAAGAAATGCAAAACATTTAACAGACAGCTGCAAGGGATGTTAGAACAGCATAGTGTTGGGGAACTGTAAGAAGACGACTTTTGGATTCTAGGCTTTGCATTTGCAGACCTCTACTGAGGCAAAAAGTGACAAACAAAACAAAGAAATGCGGCATGGTCAAACAGCTTGCAATCGTCAAGAGAATAATGGGAGAAGGTGAGAGGCAAAAGCTTTATTTTTATGAGGAAATTTGGGAAAGATTGTGCCCACACCGTTTGGGTATTTCATGCAGCTCCTCTGTGTTTTATTTTAGTTTGTCTTCAGTAAAGACTATCATCCGGCGCTCTGACCAGCAAGCTCAATATGTCCGGCGTTTACCTTGAGAACAGATAAGAGAGGACTGCATCACTCAAGGAGTCAACGCATCCCACTCGGGTTCATGGTATGGAGCGTTTTGAACATCTCCAGAATTGGTCGGCTACACATCATCCAGGGTATAACACGAACCAGAAACAGTACAAAACACTACTACGAGCGCTGTCTGAGCCCTTAGCTGTGCGAATGGGCCGGAAAAAGAATTCGTAGGGATAGGAGACTACATTTTCATGCCTGACAGTACTCTATGTCCAAAGGGAATTAAAGTAACCCGTTTTCTTGTGGGTTGTGATGTTGAGCTATTGCTATGGCCTGGAAATAGCCGTGCCATGAATCCACTAGAGAACTTGTGGGCAATTCCAAAGTCAGAGATGAGGAAAAATATCAGTATAAATGTGTGACAGCTCAATGAAGAAATTATATCGACCTGGGTACGAAATGAGAGTATGGCTGAACATTGAGATTCCCACTCTGTGACTTGGCTTGTTAACTTCTGAAAATTGCCAAAGGTCCATTTACAAAATACTAATTTTGATAATTTATAATCAATATGTGTTCTTATCGACAAATAAGATCAGTTTACAGTAAAACCGTTTGATTTTGACTAGAAATGTGGAGAAATATAAAAATAGTTTGCTGAATCCAATAAATTTTATAAAATTTGGCCAACACTAAGATCCGAGTGGAACAACACTTTATCAAGTCTTCTTTTAACTATCGTTAGATTGAAGGCAGAGACGACATAATTTGGGAGAGCGTTCCATGGCAGACACAGTCGAAGAGAGAAGAAAGTTTTGCAGCATTCCAGCCTGTTGTATTGTATTACCAGTTTTAACCGATGACCTCTCAGATTGGCGTTACGGCTCAGTTCCAGCAGCGGACGGCAAATGTGGTTTGGTTTCCTCAGAATCTGGTAAACCATTATGAGTTCCTCTCACAAGTGCCGATATCGACTGTTGTACTCTTAGGGACTTCAATCTAAGCTGGTCTGGCAGATGGTAGAGGCTCTAACGTTCTTTAATGTTCATTGCTGAGGGGTCTCGAAAGCAGCAAGATGCTTTTGCCAAGGGTGCGATGCCTGGATGTTCTATTCCACGTGTGGTGGTACACAGGCGTTAAGCATTTGTGGAAAGATTAATGGCTCACAGCGACCAAACGCTTTGTGAAGTAGGCCGAAATCTTGATTGCCGGTTCTTGACGCCTACTCGGATTGTTTCTAGCAGCTGAGATCATCTTACATCGGTATTCCAAAGTCAGGCTCCTAAGAAGCCTTCTACTAGCTGGGATTTCCAAGTTGGTACGCGCTCACCGGCTGATGACTCAGGTGAATCACCTTGCATTTAGCCGTGGTTAACTGGAGTAACTTCCTTGTTGACCATTCATGAACGCAATCCATGAACGTTGGAGGAAATGGTTGGCTTCATTTATATCAACCCCACGCCATATCTTAATATTATCGGCGAAATGCAGGAAGTTAGAGGCCATAACTCTTGTCAATTCGTTCAAAAACACCAGGAATAAGCGCGGTTCCAGCGCCGATCTCTATAGAACACCACTTTCACCTCAATGGAGTTGAAACGTGATCCCCTAAAACGCACCTGAAGACTCGGTTGCTGAAGAAAATTGACAATCCACCCAAGGACAATATCCCTGATTTCTAAGCTCTGTACTCTGTGAAGTAGGATATGATGACGCACGCTGTCGAAAGCCTTGAAAAAGTGCACTTAGATGACGTCAATTCCGACCCCACTATCAGCCTCTTCAGTCCAACTACCTCGTGTCGTCAGCAGGTTGGTGGGGCATGACCGGTGTTAACGGAAGCCATGCTGCTCCGGTGCCAAGATGTTGCACTTTTCTAGACAGCCCACAAAAGTCTGAGCAACGACCGTTTCCATCACTTTCAGAGCACAGGCAGAAAAGTCACTGGGGAGTAGTTTGCAAGGCCTGAATGCCACATATAAAATGGGGGTCCTGATGCCCTGTTTCCACGTGGTCGGAACTGGTTGTTTATCGAAGAATCTTTGGAAGAACCGCGACAGGGGCTAGACTGGCCTAGTGGCTATAGCCTTCAGTGTCTATAGCTGAATGTCGTCGGGTCTCAGTAGCCATGATCGCGCAATGAGAGCAACTCTTTTAGCATAGTTGCTGAGTTGAAAATTACATGTGCAGACCTATGTGGGTGGCAAGAAAAGGTTTCGAGTTCGAAAATCGGGGTGTATTGTAGCCCTAGGGGGTTGGATGCTTCAGCGGCGTTTTGTGTCCTGCCGTCTGTTGTGAGTAAAGTACATCAATAATTGGAGACAGTCCGAGTGAGTGGGGACGTAACTTCCACTGAATTTGCAGACCACATGCGGATGTGATGCGATGCGACGTGGACTAACTATGAGCGCACAATGTCACCCATTTTTACTGCTGAATAGCAGGGCCAGAAAATTGTGCTGGCAAGTGGATTTACTGTGTGAATGTGTTATTTTGATCAACTGCCTAGTAGGAATAATGAGTACACAATCGACAAGACACATTGGTCGAGTACATCCATTCACATAGCATTAGTTATGCGGACAAACATAACCAACTTCTACTTGGACACTGCTAGGCCGCACTGATGGGGACGGTTGCTACCCTAACGTTATCAACTTTGCATAGGTGCATACACGTGTGAAGCATATCATGTGGGAAGAACAAGAGCATGGTGGTGACGGTGGTGACTAAATTCACTTAGTTACTAGCCTGCGAGTACCATCTAAGGGGAGGTGAGGGATAAGAACTTGACTCGTATTTCTAGCTGAACCAGGATAATTAACAAGATCAAGTTAGCAAACCACGGCGTAGTACTAAAACGCGGGTTGGGCTTGGACTACTAGTGGTTGGGTCAGACCATGCTCCAATATGATGCCAACACCAGAACTCCAAACAGTACCACTCCAGCAAGCACCTTAATCAGCGTGCTTCTACTGAATTTGATCTCGACGTATTCGTACAGGGTCAGCTTGGCTTCAGTCTATCGCCAAGACATTATGATTAGTCGGAGTATTCGCGCACTGCGTGTAAGGGAAAGGTTATTTAACAGTCGGAGGTTACCATGAATATAAAGGTAAAATAGTTACTCTTCACTTCCTGCATCAAACTTGGGCGAGCATACACTTTTGCAATTACATGTATTTCGGTTATTGCATTTTATAAGGAATAAATAATACGGAATGTTTGTACCTAACCACTTTTGTTCACATACCGTGTTATTTTAAACGCGCGTATATTCGAATGGAAGCGTGAAACCAATAAACAGCATGTTGCGAACGAAGCACCTGTAAAGAACACTAGAGTGCGTTGGTCTACCACAGTTTATTGATTACACCACAAGTGCTGATACTGCGTATAATCCTGCTTTCTGGCGGAGTAGGTTGAGGGCCAATTACAAAGTAAGTAGCAATCGAGAACAGTTACTCAAAAAACGAACTAAGCTCACATCATTCGTAAGGTCCTTTTTGTATACATCTGGAGGTTCTCCATTGGACGATTTCACTTTTGCGCTGACTTCCAAAGCTGTATAGGAATATGAAATTGCAAACGGGGAATTCACAGCTGAGGCTTGATTTTGGTGTGGAAAACTAATGAACATTAATGTGAACAGTCGCCAATGCAAGTGCTAACGCACGCATGTTGCTCAAGCCCGGTGTAATTTTGAACAACAGGGGAAGGTTCAATGCGGAGCCATCGGAGTGAACACAATGAGATCCCGATAAGGCATTGAATGCCAACTGAATTATTACATCACTCCGTCACCGAAATCTTTAATAATTATCCAAAGGGAGGAGGTGACTTAAATATAATGCCATAAGATAATTGGCGGCTTAAGTTTGGTAAGCTCGTCGCTTGGTGAGGGGCTACCCTGTCCTCTGCACGGCAGTAACGTGTAAGTCAGTGGATAGTGAGCGGCGCTATATCACATCTAGTAACTTATTCACGATGGTCGTTGCTGTCCCCCGTAGCTCAGTGGTCTCAACCACGGACTGGCAACAGTTGAGTTGCGGGTTCGAGCCATACCAAGGGTCCGATGGAATGCGCACTGCTGATGGTTTCCGAAAGGATGAAAAGCGCGTACAGTGCTTTTCCGTGCGTGTGGCGGCTGTCTGAGTGAGTCTAGGTGTGACGAATTTCTACCTATACCATTCAACTCCCCCCTACTACTCTTCTGTTAAATATAATTGCTAACTGTTTTGATGTTCTCAAAGGTTCCGTTAAAACAGCAGTCACTTACTCAAAAGGCAAAACGTTTCAATAGTTATGTTTTGAGAAAGAAACCATGGCTGTTACCGTAAGCGAGAGTAGTAACTGAAGCATTCAACCCAAAAGCAGTGTTCATTTTCTCAAAACGAACAAACAGTATAAGCCGCATGAATGCCGCTGCTCAACGCTAGACAAAATGGCTACTCTGACGCAACAAACAGGGATTTGAAACAGAGCAATTGGAGCCACCGTATTTCACACGGAGTTAACAGTAGTTTTGTTTCAGGGTAGATTTTGTAACGAAAATCTTGTTCACAACGTCCACTTATGTGTGTTCGGTTACTGGTCCCAGACCGCTCTCTTTCCGAAGTCAACGCGAAGTGCTTATGTTCTATACTATTCCTCCTTCATTCCTATCTCGGCTGAATGCAGCCACCTCTGTATTCCAGGTTAGTTATCGTGCAAACAACAGGACGGCAGTGGCCTTTAAGCAGTCGCCAGCATATATGATTTAAGCGATTGTTAGCCAGCTACCTTCAACTGTGTACTGAGTTGATCTGGGAAAGTAGATTGGATCACCTCTCCGTCATGGAAACAGTAAGTAGTGTGCAGATACGTAGAAAAAGAGTATGTTGGAGCTAATATGCCTCGTGGTCTAAGCTTCAACTCATCAATTGTGCTAAGGAAGTTACTCTCACTGCGTGAGCATAGTTCTCCGGGAGCAGACAACATCCGCCCGAAGGCACTGAAGGCTACGGCCACCAAGCTAGCTGAACAACTGTCACAGATTTTCCAAAGATGCTTTGATGAACAACAAGTCCCCACTATGTGAAAGTGTGGTATTATCACCCCAATTTTTAAAGGCGGTAGCTGTTCAGATCCTGCAAACTATCGCCCAGTGACTGTCCTCCCTGTGCTCGCGAAGGTGATGGAAGCAGTCGTCGCTGAGGCTTTAATGGACTAAATGGAAAAGTGCAACATCTTGGTACCGGAGCAGCATGGCTTTCGTCGACACCGGTCATGCTCCACCAACCTACTGATTGCACGAGGTAGTTGGACAGAAGTGGCTGATGATGGGTTCGGAATTGATGTCATCTACCTGGACTTCTCCAAAGCTTTCACCCGCCTTGATCACCGCATCCTACTTCAACGGCTACAGTGTTACGGTATCGGAGATCCTGTACTTGGTTGGAGTGGCAGCTTCCTTCACCAACGGAAGCTTCAAGTACGTGTTAGGGGATCACTCTCTAACCCAATTGAGGTGGAATGTGATGCCCAACAAGGCTCAGTGCTGGGACCGCGCTTATTGCTGGTGTTTATCAACGACCTGGCATTAGTTATCTCCTCAAATTTCCTGCCTTTCGCCGATGACGTCAAGATATGGCGGGCGATTAGTAACAAGCCAGATCAGGATCTGTTCTAACATGACCTAGATTGTATTTACGAGTGGTCAAAGAAGAACCAGCTTCAAGTACACATATCTAAGTACAAGGTGATCCATCTACATCACCAGCCAATGAGCGCTTACAAGCTTGGAGACCATACCTTGGCGAAGGTCTCTCAGGAGCGTGACCTGGGTGTATTGGTACAGAAAGATCTCGGGTGTCAAAAACAAGCAGAGAAGGCGACGAGAACGGGCAATAAACACTTTGGTCTTCTTCGCAGAGTTTTCGGTCGGTTTGAACCCACGATGTTCCCCAAATGCTTAACGCCTAAGTGCGACCGCACGTGGAATATGCTATCCAGGCATGGCAGCCGTGGCAGAACCAGGATCTCGTTGCTCTCGAGACTCCTCAACGAAGGGCAACCAGGAACGTCAGGGGCCTCTTTCATCTGCCTTATCAGCTTAGACTGAAATCTCTAAGAATGTACAGCATTCGATATCGGCTTTTGCGGGGGGATCTCATAATGGCTAGCCAAATTCTAAAGAACCCAAACCACATTTGCCGTCCGCTGCTGGAATTGAACCACAACACTAAACTAAGAGGTCACCACCTGAAACTGACAATTCAGTATAGCCGACTTGAATGTCGCAGAAATTTCTTTTCCCTCCGCGTGTGCTAGCCTTGGAACGCCCTCCCTAATTATGTCGTCACTGCTCCCAATCTGGCGATATTTGAAAAACGTGTTGACGATGCGTTGTCACACATACATATCATTTAATGACCTTTTAGCCGGGGGCTACAAAACGCAATCAAACGGTGTCTGGCCAAACGCCTAACCAATGGATTTATGGATTTGTACGTTTAATGCACGAACATCTCCGCTATTCCACATAAGTCTATGGTGAGTCCACCATAACGCTTTGTACTTTATCATGCAATTGAGTTTCGCAATAATTTCCATCCCACGGGACTTGGTAAGCAATGCTTTTTTAACCCATAATAAACCACTGTTCCATTGTTCGGTTTATCTACTTAACTGACGGATAATTGTCCAACAGTCCACTGCATTTGCAATGCTCAACTAGTCGACAACTCACAAGGTAGTCAGGGGAGTTGAATGGTATGGGTAAGAATACGTCACATCTGGCTCAGTTAAACAGTCATTACTCGCCCGGAAAAGTCCTGTATGGCCGTCTCATTCTTTCGGGAATCGTTAGCAATGAGTTGCCCATCCGGTTCCTGTGGTGTTCGAGCCCGCCATCCGACTGCTGTCAGTGTGTGGTTTAAACCGCTTGGCTACATGAGACGGCAGCGACCGCTTTGATGATTTTCGCTTATACCATTCAAATCCCATACTACCATTTTGTAAGCAGTCCGCAGACCAAACAGCTTCTAACGCCATAAGTTAATTGAAGGGCGTTATATTATATATAGTAACTTAGTCACGTCGGTCGGTACCGCTTCCCGTATCCTAGTGGTCTTCATCTCAGAAGGGCAACAGTGGTTGCGAGTCCTGGCCACAGGGACCGGACAGATTGCGCACTTCTGATGATTCCCGAAAGGATTAAACAGCTGTACAGTACTGTCCTTCGTGTTTAATACTGTTTGATTGAGTCTAGGTGCGTTAAATACTGTCTGCACTTGACAAAGTACCCGGTGAGACTGAACTCTTTTTCGATTGACAATCTGGGCCAGTTGGCCGGTCGCGTTCCACCAAACTTCATTTCCTCGGCTTAAGCATAAGTGCAACAGTACATGAGCAATCAAACGTGATTGACATTACCACGTCCGCCTGTCTGATCAAAGTTTACAGGTTTTTGTGTTAACGAGGTATAAACCAAGGCCTGTGTCACCGCAAGTGCCAGACAATTCATCCAACATGCGTTAATAGGAATTATCAAAATGACCAATGTTAGCGGTAAATACACTGAAACCAATTGGTAATGCGAGTATGGCAGAAGACCTAATAGGATTGCCTCACTTAAGATGTCGAAAGCGAGATGTCCTAGTGAAAATTCTACCTAAATTCGGCTTAGTACAGCGCCGTTAACCTCAATGTGAAAATCTCACAGAACCTCGATATAGTTCATGAAGAACGCGCTCAGATGGTGGACCAAATAAATAATTAAATGAATGGTTTATTCTCGACGGGGCGAGGCATACCTGTGAAGGTGCGATGACCGACATTCCAACAGTGCCTACCCAGGGGTTACTGAAAATGCACAAGCATACGCTTTGAGTATTTGCAGGAAGGATAGTGCAGACAGGACGGATAATAGCCTGAGTTTTGCTGACTGACTGATATGCCAAGAAGGAATGCGCCTGGAATGGCTTAGCACCGGGTGTACGTGTGTGGGGAGCAAAACCACCACATTCTCCCTATTGGAGGATGCCTCAGATGTGGTTCCAACAGTATGGTAGTGCACCGTTCCAGGGCTGTGTAAGATGTGCTGGATTGTAATGACCAATAGCTGACCCGCTGCTAATGTAGTCGGCTTCTCAACTCAAGAATCGGCATAAGATCCCACTTCCGAAAGTGTATTTCATCCAAGTCCTCAAGCTCAATGACAACCCATTGTAAGAAGGGAGGGAAAAAGTCACCGGGTTCTGAGATGGATCTTTACTCACGGAACGGAGTGACTGACCAACCGCATTTTTCTCTGAGCATCTATTCTCTAGGAAAGAAAAGCGGACTGGTGTCAGTCGTTCAGATTGGGCGACTGACATTACGCACCACATCATACTGAATATGTGATAGCGCCAAATGGTTTCGCCTACTATTATCGTGTAGTGAGTTGATGCCACCCCTTGCCACAAGCGTTTGCGCTCACAAGAGTTGAGGCAGTTTCGGAGCACATGCTTAAAGAGATATGTACGGTACCTCCAAGAGAGCCTTCCGCCGTATGTTGAATAAAATGACTTAAATACCACTAACAATTCTGCGTGGGGAGAGCGATGATTTCTTCCATAACCAGAAAGGATTGTGAAACATTTTCCAGTGTATACTTCTACGAAAGTGACACATAAGTCGACCGCTCCGTAACAGTAAGTTCACTTGTCGTAAATATTGGCTAGTGCAATATTTCTCAAAAATAGTGGAAAAAGTCGCCATCGTTACAACTAACGTATGCGCGACTTTGAAATCTAAAAGATCAAGCTAGTTATGCTGTGTATGACTTTGTCATAATTCAAGTCAAAACCACAGTAAATAATCCAAATGTCTTCCCAAACGCAACGACTACACTCGATGTTCTTCAACCTTTTTTCCTGTCAACCCGCTGGTAGGGAAAAGCAGTTCACTATGACAGGTGGTCCAGCTCGGTATGGGTAATGTGCGAAACAAGAAGCTGTCGTATACACCATTTTCCTCTTTTGTACTACCTTTTCCACAATTTGCAACAAGTGGACGGGTTAAAGTTCTTAAAATATGCAGAAGTTGCAGCAGTAGAGTCTAGTGAGCAGATACAACACTAGTTTTTGTTATATTATCCAGTTACACTGAACACCCAGGTTGCCAAGCGTCACGGATCACAAAGACTTTAGCGGAAGAGGCAGATACCATGTAAATTGAATTTTCCACTCTCTCTCTCTCTCTGCGAACAGCGATGAACGTAGCCACGCGTCATAACCAGTTCTGCCTCACACACATAATGGTAGAACAGGGTGAGTTAAATGAGTAAGCAGTGGTTTTGCATTTGAAATAAAAGTTGTGACGAACCACCTACCTTCAACCGGAAACATGCGCATGCCTGCAAAAAGAAAAAGAATGCCACTCATGTCTTTCTTGATAGAAATGTGCTGTCGAAGTGCACACTACAGCGATGTGCATAACCTATACCAAATACCTAAGCGTATTGATGCACGGCACACAGCACAAAGCTTAACTTTAGGTAACTCAACATAGAGTCCGCGTTGGCGGACTAGCAAGAATAATGGGTCAGAGCTGAAGTAGCAGAAACTTATGCGCATTGATGAGCAAGACCAGACCTTCGGGTTTTCAGAATGTTTGTTGACACTGCACTGGCTTGCTAAACGAGCATTGTAACGTGTGATGCAACTGTTTGGAGGAGAACATCGCTCGACAGTGCTGTCAGTGTTAACGTTCAATTGGTTGTAAATGTGGCTTACGTTCTCATGGTATGACCGACCGTTTTAATATGGAAACATATTTATGTAGGACCGGATATAGTTTATTAAAACAAACCCATTAATACAGAGGAACAGGTGGTTGAAATAGCGTCGGAGCACTCTAAAGACGAGGTGGCGAATATAGACAGCCATCTATACTCGCCACCTCAAACCGGAGTTGTGAGTACCAAACAGATTGTACGCCTTTACTCCTACCGTGGCATACAATTCTGAACTTGACTTTGCAACGCTTAAAAAGCTACGGTTCGAAAAACACGTTTCTCTTCATCACAGGTGTAGAACCATGCGGTCAAGGCTTAGAAAAGGCGTGGTCTACCGCATTCTCATCAGCCGCGGTTAAATGCCCCGACAACGTTAGTCAATTAAAAAGTCTAATCTTACGTTTATTTCACAGCAGTAGTGTCATATGTTGGAGCTCGCAAAGTGCGTTTTAGCCGATGGTTTAGCGCCTTCACAGTTATAGTCATCGTCCAGGCCTCCTTATCTGCCGTCGCCACAATAGCCAACACTATTACTCAAGGGTTGTCTGTCTGGTCCTCGATTCATAAACTGATAAGAATCACGTCACGGCAAGGTGAATCTTGTGCTGGAAACACACCAAAAATCACATAGAGCAACATTTTTAGTTGCCTGGAGCGGAAATAATCCAATCGAGTAAAACACGACAGTAAAAATTAGACCTAAATACAGCGAGTTTTGGTTTGGCAAAAGTCTGAAGATTTACCTGGTTTGTCTGAATATGTTGTTTAAATACCGATTAAAATTATGTGACTTGGCCCTCAGTAACTTGGCCCTCAAACGACATACTAGATTCGAAGATTGAACACAGTGAGATATAAGTCGTACGAATTGATCGTCCATCTTGCTGCGGCGGTGTTGCTATTTACTATCCAGATTATCTGAAATGTGAGGCCTTTAGCGAAAATTCCCTTGTTATTTCCGAGGTATTATTTTGCTGACTACAACTTATACGTCTATATGATGAGTCGCAGAAGATGATGGGTGATACTTGCTTCTTGACAGTTGTCTACCGGTCACCGAACTCCTTCGTAGGCAGTGATGACCTTTTGTTATACGCACTTCACTATGCTGTTTCGAAAAAGTACTCGCATTACGTTATAATGGGCGTTTTTAGTGTACCTTCAATAGTCCCAGTGTCCCCCAATGGGCCAACAGTTAAATCAAAATTCCTTGAATTCATGGATATGGCAGTTTTGGATAACCATGTGTATAGACCAATCAGGCACTGCAGTTCAAACAAGCCAGCACTACAGGACTTAATGCTGCCAAATGGAGTTTATGGTTGTCAGTCGCACACAAATCCCCTAAAGTCAGTAAAGAACATTCAGCCCTAGCATTTGGTTACGTGTGTTAGGCCAGTATTATTGACGAGGAACGAGAAACCCAACAAACTATTACTGACTATTCCATGCTTCACAACCTTGCAACAACCGTTGATTGGAACCTTTAGTTGTACAGTTCGGCGAACAATGCATGGAATGAAATTAAACTTAACTGGGTCTTACAAGCATCCTCAAAAGTTCTACCATTACGAGTATTGCGCCAGACCAACAGTTGGATCCGAAGCGAAGCATGTAAAGGTATCAACAGAAGAGATGAGATTTGGAGGCAACATAGGTAAGCCCATGTTAAGCTACATGACAGAAATACAAAATAATCATAAACTATTGCACATCACTCATTAGAGCAGGTAAGCACGAATGGAAGGAGACCATGATACTCAAGTTTACGAGTAATAAGAAACTGCTGTACAGGTATGTGAACCTCAAAAGGAAAGTTAAACCTGGAATACCACCATTCAAGATGGCCAGTAGCTTAACGCCTATTGATGTGGATACCGCGAACACTCTACTTCTGCAGTTTGGCTCAGTGGCTACAAATAGTATGGAAACTTTGTCGTATCAACTCCAAACAAATGTCGTCGGCTTATCCAGTCTCACTTTTACTCTAGCGGCTGTCGTAAGCAAATAACAGTTGACAAAATCTGCCCCAAGTTACTTAAAACTTACCAACAGCATGGCAGTACAGCTTGCAGCGTTCTTCCAGGGTTTGTTTGACTCCCATACACTCCCATCTGAGTGGAAATGTGGGATCAGCACTTTGATATACAAAGAAGCAAAGCGATCGGATCCTGTCAACTACCGACCCATTAATCTCCTTCCTGTTTTATCAAAAGTGATGGAATCGGTAGTCACAGATGAACTGACGCGATGTTTTGAAAGTTTGCAAATAATTTCAAATGTCCAGTATGTTTTCAGAGGCAAACGATCTTGCCTCCCAATCTAATTCTTACCCGGGTTTCATGGACCAGAGCAATTGATGAAGGAGTCCCTATAGATGTGGTTTACTTATATTTTGCTAAAGTATTCGACAGGGTCAATCATTACGTTCTCCTGCGAAAGATTGCTGCCTATAGTATCAACGGTTCCCTGCTCGTCTGGTTGGAAGATTACCTACAAGACAGAACCCAGCATAACCAGCACTCACTTCGAAAACTTGTTCATATCCAGTGGTATACTCTAAGAATCCGTCCTCGGCCCGCTACTGTTGTAAGTTGACACAAATGGCCTCCCAGAAAACATCTTACTCCCGATTCATATATTTGCAGATGATGTTAAAGATGGAGAGCTATTCGCTCAGCATCCGACCGTGCCTATTTCCAGAACGAGCTGGACCGGATTAAAGAATTGACAGAAAGCAACGAGCTCCCACTGAACCCTACAAATTGCCACCTACTGACGTTGCGTAGCAGCTTCACAAACACATATCTTTTGGAACAGCACGTTTTGCAACAGGTGGTTAGTGAAGGAGACTTAGATATCATCTTTCAAAAAAGTCTTGGCAATTAGCTCCAATGCTGGAAAGCAGTGAACTTGAACTTGAGGCTTTTGATACGAGGTCTCGACACCTTTGAGCGACCGTTAGTACCACTGTTGATCAACACATCTCTTCTTCCCCATGTTGAATATGCGGTTCAGACCTAGTGCCCATGGTTAAAAGGAGATATTCGTCTCTTGGAGCTACTCCAAAGAAGAGCCACCAAGGCAACGCGTGGACTATCCGGTCTCAGTTACGAACTGTGTCTTCGTTTACTCGGTGTGTTCTATTCAGAATACCGATGGCTTCGCGAGGACCTCGTTCTCACGTACCAGATACTAACTGCAAGCGAGCACCCATATACATCACCTCTGACCCTGGCCCCTTACAAACAATATCGAGACCAACACCTGAAAGTAGTAACACAACACCCCCATGTTGGACTGCAGGAAGTATTTTTACTCACTTAGAAGTTTCCCCACTGGAATGCACTACTAACACAGGAGGCGAAGGCACCAGACATCGTGGCATTCGAAAGAGATCTAGACTTTCATCTTAATGCTAGCGCCACTCGAGTGTGATAAAGTTTGATGCCCAACCTACTAATAATTCACGTTTCACGTTGAAACACATTTGCTTTTAATTTTGTTTACATTTTCCGTTCAGTGGGCCCTGTAAATTTATGCTTTTTATCCCATCATACACTGTTGTACTAGTGAATAGGTGTTCGATGGAGGATGTTTAAACGTATCTTGAATTAAATTGCCTGACCGAAGAACAACACACACTGCGCCACAGTTGTGTTCACAGCGCCGCTCCATCGCGCAGTATCCAGAAATTCTTCCTTAGCTAACAGGCATCGTAAAGGTGTGGTCATCTTAACCAATACTCAGGACGATTGTACACCCCATGAAGGACAGTTCGTACCGTCCCTTCCATGCCTTCTCCTCAGCTAATGGGAACGGTATTCGCCAACAGCCAGTCGAATAGGGCAAGTCTACTGCATGAAACGATCAATAACAATAAAAGCTGTGACCTATACAGTCGAGCATGACCAATGGGAGGCAAGATATAGCATAACCGGAATCGTAATTCAACGATAGCGTGATATTCGCAAAATTTCTTTAATAGGAATCGACTAACCCTTGAGTTGTATTTTTGAAGTTCCTTTAGATGAACCACTGTTTGCTTGTTCCAAATGCTCATGTGCAAGTTTTAAGAAGGTGTCTTCAATATGTTCTCTCCAGGCATCCAAGGTGGTTGGTCGAATTTGAAATTGTATGATGTAGATGCTCAGGTTACCCTGAATTCCCGAATCATCGTATGCAAAGAAACCGTCTTTGCAGCCAGCCAGATTAGCGGCGAGGAAGGCGTAGCATTGTTTCACCAGGATCATGAACTACAAGGTGACAGGGATAGAAACCTTACCTAGATGTGAGCGGATAATTTGTGTTATTAAAGGGGAGGATTTAACATATGTTCATCAGGCCTAAAATGGAAACCACACTTCGCTGGCTCATGACTTCCAAGTAATTCGACTTAAAAAGTGGACTGTGCATTGTGAGACCGAGAGGCGCTCTAGCAACTTGCATGGACTCAGGCCACAACAACAATAAGCAAGTTAATCGTACAAATGATACTTTCATTCAAAAAGAATGCAAAAGAACACAATCTTTAGAAGGCTCGGTTAAGAAGCAAGAAGAAGGGAGTGAATTTTAGGGCACTAATCACCTCTTGACTGCAGTGTATTCGATGGTGCATCAAGCTACTGATGTGGACGCTAGTAAAGCAAGTTAGGACATTGCACAACTGCGTTCCAGGACTTCAATCTACTCCGCATAAGCGAGTTTCATCAAGACCATCGATGACTCATAAAAGTTCTGGTGATCCGGAAATAGAGTGCTAAGGGCTTTATAGCCTTCACAGCATCTAGCACCTCCATGCAACTTGGTTGATTCCCACAAAGCTGAAGAGTTTATACTGTATTGCATTTAGGCTTGGAACCTTTCTGGAAAAACAATACAATTAGTCTTCCACAGCGAGCTACCCAAGCCCTACCACACTTCTCCCGACAAAACTTTCGTATCCCAGGTTGCAAAACACACTCGTGGTTGCAAAGTCCGCAATATTACACCGTTTGTAGACACTGGCACATGAGCTATTGTTGGTAATCGAGTCTCTTTGGCTCCGCTAGATACCCGCAGCTAGGAGGGAAAATCCAGCTAATCTACCCAACCTTTCCATGGAGTATAATGTTGCGACGTGCAGTAAGTAAACACCGGGAAAGTTGAGTCACTTTCTTGCTGTGCGCAATGCAGTTCCGGACAGTTTAGTGTCATTGCCGACCCGATGCTCACTTCTTTAGCATGTGTGGCCATTTACCTACGAAGTTTCGCATCCACGCGTTAACGGATTGGACTACAGGCAACGCTGCATTTTTCCTATTGCCCAAACAGCCAGATGGAATATCAGCCCGCCTCCCAGAATAGCTGTGCAAACCAAAATCCACCTGAGAAGGAATTCAAAGGTAATCGGACACGGATCCTATATGATCATCTGCCCCCAAGGACAGAGAAGATATTTATCAGCATCCACTTGTAACACCAATTCAGTTGATTTAGGCGTGTTCTTACATTCTCTGACTAAACGGAGAGATACCCGTTTTTGTTTGGTTAATTCACCAAACTTAACCATTGCAGCCAGAAATCCTATGCCGAAGAAATTTACGTCAAACTACGGTGGAATACGAGCCCCGGAAGAAAAGCAACCCGCTCATCTAAACAGGTACGTAATTGAACTAGTAGCTGGTATGGAATATTTGCATTGGAATAAACAATAATAAAACGGAGCATGTTCTGGGGCAATCATTCTAAGATCACTTAAGAAGTGCTCTCCCATGGTGAGGCAGTTAGAGGGAAATCTGGATTACTACATATTGTTAGTTAAACTCAGCAGGCAAGTACGAAGGAAAGAATGAAGAGCAGAGGGGAAACTGAATGGAAAGAAGGTAAGGAAATAAACAGACAGGTTAGCAGAAGGATTGGACGGCTGAGGAGTGAATATGTAGATGAACGGAGCTGGGGATGGATACCAGCCGCTGACGCATGAGTAACCTGCGAGATAATCGGAAGTAAAAAAATCAGGCCACACAAAGCAGTCAGCTAATATAGTCCCCCCTCTGCTCAGTCAGAGTGAGATAGAGCTCAATACGTTATGGACTGAATGCGCGAGATCCGTAGAAAAATTGAAGCGGAAATCCTCGTGCTACTTCAGGCATTACAGCCAGTACTAGGTGTTAGGAAGGCATCCTCAAAACGAACAACGGAGGCGCCCGTCGCCGTTACAGGGCCAAGGCATGTCAGACGAACCAAATGCACCCGCACTGATTGTGACGAGCAGAGAGCCAACCGAGTGAAGCGGCCAATTAACACTAGGGTGGCATTACTTCATTGACTGTAAGTTGACCTTTCTGAAGTTTTCCACTTGAGCTTTAAATACCACTTACGAAGTTTTGATGTTACCTTTATAACGAATGGTGTGGTTGGCTAATACATCCCTGTTCCTCTGCTCTTCCCATCCGGTTTTTTCTCTCCTGTGAGGGGGGGAGGGCAGCGATCACGAGTTCCGATTGAGAATTAATCGTCACTTCAGGCGAGGGAGGACCACTTCAGCTAGAGACAAGGTAAACGCTGATCAAGATATCCGTATCAGATGACGAACTCAAGATCATCGTGCTGCGGCAACAGGCAAAATTCGATGCATCCCAACTCTGGCTGTTCAGAACTCTCCCGCGCCAATTGTCTAGCCAGACCGGCTCGTGGTCTGCAACTGTCAAACCGTCCGCATCGGTAGACGCCATCACTAACAGCACTACCGAATTTTCGTACGACCTTGATGCTAGCCTCACCTTTGAATCCTGCTTCAAGCGATAAGAACATGTGTACTGCGTTGAACTCCGAGACCATGATGACTATTGGAAAGTCCGCTTGATGTTAATGTAACTTTGAAAAGCAGAGCACTCCAGGTATGTCCATTTTATTTTGCCCAAGAACGCTCCAGACTGCACTTTTTATGAGACTGTCAAACGTTTGCGCCAATTACTTGGAGACCAGTCATCCATCTTCAAAAAGCGATAACAGTGTCTGGAGATAACCAAGATGGACGCAGATGACTACGTCACTTACGCTGGCATAGTCAATCGCGAGTGCGAAAAATCGACATAAAACCATCACGGCAGATCAGTTCAAATGCCTGATTTTTATCGGTGACATTCATTCCTCACGGAAAGCAGAGATCCGCACTAAGCTGCTGTGTAAACATGAACAAGACCCGCCAACGACTCTACATACCATCACTACTGAACGCCTAAGATTACTAAATCTCGAACATGACACGCTTATGCTGGAGAGGCAACAGTCAACCCCAAGTGTATTGAAAACCCCTTCAAAGAAACCGCTTCTAAGTGAAATCGGTCATGAAAAGGCCAGAGAGAATCCCCAAACCCCTGACTGCCTGTTGGAGATGTGGTGAGTTCCATTTTGTTCGAGTATGTCCACTCCTGAAACATGTTTGTCATAAGTGTCATAAAGGAGGCCATAAGTAAAATGCACTGTCGACCCAGACTGCTGTTCAAGCGTGCTAGACATACGCGATCAAATTCAAATGTTCCCAAAAGATTCAGCAGCTACGGTACGGTTCAAATGGCCTACTTTGATGAAAATGTGGCTCGCAGAAAGTACGTCAGAGTTCGCCTGAACGGGCAACATATACGTCTTCAGCTGGATACAGAATCGGACATCACAATTAGTTCCCGCAAAACTTGGCAGTATATATGTGCTCCGTTAATTAGCCAAACGACACATGGTGCATTTAACGCTTCAGATCAACTTAATCTCAGTGGTGAGCTGCAGTGTAAAATGGTTTTTGGTGTTGTTCGAGCAAACGGCCTCGTGTACTTTACGGAGCTGTCGCATTTGAATCTGCTTGGACTTGACTGGATCCAGAAACGGCACCACTTCGACATTCTCCTGAGTCAAGTCTTCAATACCCTCTGGCTCGGACATACGAGGTCCTCATCAGAAGAGGATGAATAAAACAATAAGCTGATCGAGCAGCTAAGAAGAAAATGCCCGTCTGTGTTTCGCAACGACTTGGGAAGAGGTACAAAGATCAAAGCAAGCCGTATTGACGGATTTATTGACAACTGAACGGAACCTACAAACACTCAAACCTGGGTTAAACACGGACGGATACAGTTCACTAACATATGTCTCCACTTCACAGACATGCACAAAAGGACCATGGTTAAAATGAGTCAAATCAAGGCATCGGATGAAATAAGTGCCGAGAATCGGCGTGAGCTCTTCCTTCACGACCACGATATCCAACTGATGTGAAGAGACGTCTTGGGATTGATCATTTGGTTATGGCAAAACCTTTCGGCTGTAGCTTGGAGCCGTTCCACATGCGCAAGACACCCTGATCTGATCGCACAAGAATTCCTGGGCACCACTTCGCCGGAATTATGTTAATGATAGTACCCGAGTCCAACTGGAAACGCATCATCTCGTCGCCAACCAATAAACTTGTATAGACGCACTTCTTCTGTTCTGTCCTCGACACGTTGCTGATTGAATGTTCAGAGTCGGAGATAGTTGTGGCTCGATTGAGTGCACTCACCTACGAATGCAGACAAGATCGAGGGAAATGATTCCTTCTGTCGCATCTGGTGCAACTTCGGCGCCCCGCCGGACTTGGTCACGATCCTTCGGGTGTCGCGTGGCGCAGAATCTGCAAGTTTCTTGCGTTTTGATAAAAGGCTTCACGGTTTTGTCAGGTAAACTGGATACGGCACATACCTCTGCTTCATTTGGCAATGGCATTTGCTGGATGTCGTGTGCAGCTGATGAATCATTGTGACATATATCAAGTGATAACTGTCGTTGCCGCAACAGCCGCTTGGTGATATTTACATCATTGATATTCAGCACGATTCTACCTCGGATTAAACTGTCAGTCATACAATTACAGAAATTATAATAAGGCGCCAGGATCTTCCGCTCTGTAACATAGTTCTCGATAGTTTCGTTTGGGCGCCGGTTTCGGGTAAAAGAAGAGATACCGCTGATATATCTTGTTAGTCTGGTCTTCGCTGAAATCACCAAATTTCCGGACGACCATTTCCAGATCAGTTGGGTCTTCATCCTTTTCGTACTGTATCCTTTCCATGGCGCCGCGTGCTTCCAAGTTTACCAACTCCTGGTTCAACGACCCGCTGAAGAAGGAACACTCACGGGATACTCTTATGGTTCCAGTTCCGATTGAACTTCATCACCGATCGTATGTATAAACATAGTCAATCGATACTCCATCGGCTGTTCATTCAGCTAAACTAGTACGAAGAAATCGTTCCTCTTGATTTTCCAGATTCTCTAATCATGGGCTAAATTCTGTTCTTCCATATTTAGTGGAGCAGGTGGTTGCACAGCTGGTTACCCTCCACTCAGCAACTGAGAACCATTGGGTGATCTTGGTTTGGTTTTCTCTGACCCCATGATGCAAAACTCGGTTCCTCAGGGACAAATGGTTTATTCAGCAAAGTGATCTCAGTAAAAATGACCGCCTGACAAGCATGTAGAAACCTCGATATCAATAACTAAGTCATTATCATAACTAACGACGCTGCTGCACTCGTGATATTCTTCCTTTGAATCAGTGAAATAAACAGGCTCCAGCGAACCAATCAGCGCGTAGACGAAATATGCGCTGGTGTCCAATCAACTGCTCAGTTTGCTTGCGGCAAGCTTGCTGCATGCTAACACGATCCTATCATACTGAGTCATCAAAGAGTATCTGCCAGCACGTATTCCGGCAGATGTTGATATTCAGTTCACACTTGTGCTGCCAGATAGATGTGTCTGCAAATCTTTATTGACAACCATCCAAGAGTTCATAGTAGGAGCCAGAAGAAAAAGGGGGATAACGATTGAAAATTATCTGTGCAACATTTAATTGAATGAGCACCTTCAATTCTTACTCGTTCCAGACCTTGCTGATGCTGTGCTGACTTCCACATATCCTATTTGGTTGGCGGTATCCGGTTCAGGATTTGCCTGTCGCTGCAGCCTCCTAGGACAGCTACAGGACGCCCGCGCCTGGGTGGCTTGCGCTGCACCACCCCCAACTCCATCCGCACACCCTATATCCGGTGTAAAAGCGAAGGAATAAGACCGGGCGGCATGTGGATGGGAGCCACGTTTCAGCAACAGCGTCTGCTCACACTACTTTAACATGGGATGTCGTAACAGCCCCGTCTATCCAATTGGGAATTCATACCTACCAAACGCACACGAGGCCGTGGTTAGGCCGTAGCCCGTACAAAATGGGATACTACCACTTTTGCCTAACACTGTCACGAGGACGGTGCACCCCGTCTCCCCCCACCCCAGCAAAAAAATCAGTCCTCTGGAACTAGTAATCCAGGTGGAGGGTACTGGCCAGGTGGCCACTTTGTTAACAATCACCTCAAGCTCAGCCACACAGGAGATATCAAACAATCAACACACAAGTTGAAGGAAAAGTTACAAGGAATATGCAGCAGAATAACAGAACTGCACGAACCACATAAAGTGGGCTGTTTTTGATCCAGGTTAAGAAGATCTAATGTAAGTGTTAGTGTGAGTCACTCTGGACCAACAGCGAGGAAGAAACGGCAGCCTCTGTATGAGGCAAACATACATTTGTGTTTTACATCCGTGTCCGGATTTGCCTGTCACTGCGGTCTTGATAGGACAGCCAGAGGACGCCTGCAGTTACACAGTGACCAAGAGTGGCTTGCATCGCAACGCCCACAGCTGCAAAAACGCGCTTTACATCCAGTGTAAACCTCAGGGAATAAGACCGGGAGGCAAGTGGATAGTAGCGACGTTTCATCAACGAAGTCGGCCAAGTGAGGCAAACGATCGCGCCCGGAAATCGCACATTTGATGAACTGGATTTAAAAAAGTGGTGAGGTAGCTGAAATTCGGACTGGGACAAAATAATCTGATAGGAGGTAGAAAAAAGGGAGACGTCCGCAGTAGCATATTTTCGCCTATTTACCCTGCTGTATTCAGCAGGGTAAAGTGAGCTTATTGGCTCTCCCATCACTGCTCGACGGCGGGTACAGCATGACAATAGGATTGTTGGTGTAATTCATGGTCTTTGATTTGGACTGGTGCATTGTCAAAGCATTCACACCTAACAGGAGAACGATTCTAGTTTTCAGCCAACCCTTTCGAAATAATGTACTCCCGAAAGAACGGCGAGCCGTACACCATGAGTCAGTGGAACGACTCACGCAGAATTGTGTCCTGGCTCTTAGCTAGAAGAAGGGTATAACCCATGCCCTACCCAGCGGACACAACGAGGAGACTTCCAGGACATGAGTCCACGGCACAACATTGGGTCAACGATCTGTTAGGATGTAGCCGCCACAAGCCTCAACACACCATGGACTTTCACATATCACAATCTTAAACCAATGTACCTGAACTCTATTCTATATGGAAGCAACAAGTGTATGTGTGTCGGATAATTTGTTACTGTGACGGCTAAGCGTTTCACATGGAATGGGTGCCTGATCCCTATTGCAGGGAAGAGGGAATTCGTCTGAGGATACTGAATGTTATAGAATGATAGCACACTGACCCCAGCGCAAATACTTCTTGGTGATTTCTCTTCCGGTTTCAGACTGAGGTCAGTCCAGTATTGTAGCCCTTCATCCTTTTTGATGCTGAGCTGGAATGTGGTCTCTAGAAACGAAGTGAATAAAGTAAAATTGGTTTCAAATGGCTCACAAATTTCTATTTTCAGAAAAACCCACTTTAACAATGCTGTTTCATAAGAGACGAAAATATGGTTAGCGCTGTGGTTCAAGCCGTTCAAAAAGTGGACAGGCCATTAAGATGATTGGTTTCTACTGAAGAGGGCTTGCCTGCGACTATCTAGCCCTGGCGATAGAAGATATGGTTATGTAATCGGTATGAAACATATATTCAGTCAACCTGGTGGTGTCAATACTGTGCTTGTCTGCATGGTAAGTACATTATGATGCTCAATTACGAATAGCACTGGGGTACACATCTGCATCACAAGTTACAAAACGAAATGTTGGATGCATTCGTTTACGCACTGTACCTACGTAGCTCACCAGCACACATACACTTAATTCAGAGCTAAGTGGGACGATTCAGATGGTGGTTACACGAATATAGCTCAATTGCTCAGACATGCAGACAGCGAGGTCCGACAAGTATCGACCAACAAAATGAGTTGAATGAAGCTCAGTCTACTGTCTTTTTTGTACCTCGTTCAGCACCTAAACCACAAAAACAACATGCTCCTAAGTGTTGTAACTTAAACGGATGCAACCAAGTGCAAACAACATAGTTAATAAAACATTATTAACCGCAAAATAAGCTAGAAGTTTGGTGGACCTGCGTCATTCTATTCAGAATCTTGGACACCATCCATCGTAATGCAGCAACATCGAAACTAAAAGTTTGCAGGTATGCACATTCGATAACACTTCATTACACACCGCAGCCAATTAATGTCACCCAACAATTGCCGTTAGTCCCTCTAATTGACCTGCCCTTTCAGCTTTATCTAAAATCCCATGCACATAAATCTGATTCGGAAAACGCATTAGTACAGCCATTATTATTTGGAGTATTATATACAGGTCAAGTGAATCGGGAACTGCATAAACTGTGTGATAAGCTTGATCTTAAACTCCAACTCAAATCAGCCAGACTGAACTCTAGCGCATCATACTCATTGGACATGGTACAGCCGCGCCGTATCCCACCCTGTTAGGTTACTCTGAGTGCCAACAATTACAGTGACGTCTAATTGAAAGCATATGATGTATGTTGAACTGAATCAACCTCAAATGCTTGCGCTTAAAACCAGAATCAGTAAGTACATATAGCAATGTAACAAGACAAGGAAAGCCAAGTAGTAAACATTGAACAATGACTCTGCACGGGTAGAGAAGTACTGTTGTACAAGTCCCGTTGGGTGGTTTGGGGGGATTATCGAAAAAAGTTACTAAAGAACAGTTAGTACTTTAAGTGTCAAAAGAAGGAATGCTTATTCGTTTTGTTGTAGTCCTGCACTCCGCGTGGTTTCACTGCACAAACATGTGACAGCTAATATATCCAAGGTAAATCCCAGGAGTAGGGCGATGGGTTAGTGATGTAACATATTGTTAGTAGAGGAGTGTGTTATTCAATTGTCTTGTAACTACTGTTTTGTCGATACAGAAACAACCTATTTAGCGAGAGTATTTTACGAATAGAAAAGAAATTCATGCGACACGCCAGACGGCTTTACTGTTCAGCGAGTTTCAGTGAGTGACCTCTCAGGTTTGTACTACTGTTTAGTTGCAGTAAGGTGTGGCACACATGACGTGGATCTTGCGGAATCAAATAGGTCATTACCAGGTTGATTCGTACTCGGCGATACCGTCCGCTGAATACCCCCAATCGTTTCAGTTTCAACTCATATGAGAGATTGCGTATTCCAGTGACGTATTTGGATGCTCAATTTTAAAGGCTGTTCTAGTGCGTTAAGGTCGGGTTTCAGCCATGGATATCAGGCTTGAATTGCGTACTCGACCTGGAGGCAAATATACGAACTGAACATCTGCCGAAAAATAATGATGTGTATTTGTCCGAACTCCTGTCGCAACAGCCCGACGTGTCGGTTACGAGCTTTCGAGGCCTTTCGAAGAACCTGGAGCAACCTAAGTCATGATGAACCAGCACACCCAGATCAGGTTCGACGAAAGATCACTGCAATATTTGTGTTCCTAACTTGGTGTCGAATGGAGAGTACCTTGCATCTACTCACGTCGAACTGCAGATTTCGGATTTACCACTGAGGCACCATATCTAGGTAACTCTGAAACAGACGCTGGTCGGCATTCATCTGAATCATGCGCCATTTCTTGATGACATTGGCAAACAGTAGGAAATTTGAAGCTATTGCCTGTGCGAGGTCAGTAATAATTACCAAAAACAATCGTAGCCCTAGAACTGACCCCTAAGGAACACCACACTCGAGATGTATGGGGTCAGATAAGGAGCTGCGAACAGTGATCACTAACACCGTTGAAGGAGAAATCGATCCAGCTTAAGATAGGGTCACCAATCCCGTAAAGCTTGAGCATGGAAAGGAGAATCCGATAATCTAAACGACCGAATGCCTTCGAAATATCCAGGTAGATCACGTCGACGTCCTCTCCAGCGTCAGCTGACTTGGATCAACTACTCCGTGCGATTTGTAAACTCGTTGTGCGCGATCGCTGTTGGAGAAAGTCATGCTGCTCGGGCATAATGAGGTTGCAGTTGTCCAAAATAGCACCTCAACGCATCAGCAACGATGGATTCCATGACCCTGGACAGTACAGGAAGAAGCGATAATGGGTGGTAGTTTTGAGTTTCGGTCATTCCACCGCATCTGTGAATCGGTATAAGAATTCCAAGCTTCAGCATAGTAGTAACCCGGTTCTGGTCTAAAGAGCACTGGAAGAGCTGAGCCCAAGGTTCTACTAGTTGTCTTGCTGCTGTTCCCAGTGCCTCTGGACAAATGCTATCGACATCTGGAGAAATATGGTTAAGCAGAGACGTCAACGATTGCAAAACAGCTTCAGTTGTAAAAGAGATGCAGGTGAGTCCCGGAGGCTGGACAACGAAAGCTGGAAGATCGTCCGACGGAAAAACCCTCTGAAAGGTGGGAGCATAGTGTATCCGCTGTGCGTTTGCCGCTTCTGTACTTGTTCTTGTTGGACCGTCAGTCATCCTGAGCGGAGGAGATCCCTGTCTCACCTTACGAAGGGTGTAGAGTTTGAGGGACGGTACACCAAGGTGATAAGACAGGTGTCTCTTCGTTTTGACTGCAGTTGGCACCGAAGAGAATCAGAGAACTGCGATTGTGAACGCGCGATGGCTTCGCATCGGTACTATAGAATTACCTCTCATCTTGCTGTGAGTCTACCGTTTCAGACGATCGACATGCGCGGTAGCGAAACTAATACATCCTCCATTCCAGTGTGTAACCACGTCTCAGTGATACCGATGGTATTATCTTGTTCGGAAAGTTGGCGATCTTTCTGTTCGGCCACCTTATTGAAAATGTCCTGATCATTGGTATCCAAGCAGGCTAGTTTCTCGTTCTCTGGGAACCCACAGAGGGTTAAAGGAGTCAGGTGTGGAAAGATGTCAACCGATGTGAGGTCGGCCACCATTCCATTCTTCGATGGGATGCTTTCACCTCGTCTGCAACTTGATATGATCAAGGTACGTCCCATTCCTTTTCTAGACCTACATCAAAATCGAATGAATTGGCACTTGAGTGAAGCTCGTGTGTCATTGCCGGTAGGTTTGTTTTTTCCGCTGATTCCCTGTCAGGTCCTTCAAGGCTTCTGCAGCCTTTAACCGAAGTTCGGATGGATGGCTTTTCCGATGTCGCCGCCAAGGATCTAAAATATCTGTCGTTGTTTCCTCTGATTGAACAACAACTCATAGAGTTCTTGTGCCGTATCCTCTATAATTTGGTGACAGTGGTAGCCTTTTGAGCGATCACTCCACAACGTTGTCCAAGGGACAAGTTTCACGAAGGAACCGCCACTGTTACAACTCGTACTTTCCGGTCTCTTGATTATGCTTTGAAAGAAGCTGTGGCACGCCATGGATAAAGATTGTGATTGGACGATCTTGCTTTCGAGCTGTTTCTTTTCTATCGTTGTGCACTCCAAGGGACATAAAGATAGATGCGTATCCCACAGGATCCGTGCTGTGACACATTTGAAGAGAGTAAAATGTTTTCTACGTCAATGGCGGATTCGAATGTCATTTCAATTAGTCTGAGTATACCATAATGCCGTTAGAGTAACGAGTAACTCGTACTAGATTTGTGGGTCTGGTTTTGACTTGCAACAAAATGCATAATACGTTTTATTGGTCTTGGTCATCAGACAACATACAGCGCAAAGTGATGGTTCATGCATGGATATTTGTGCACAAAACAGTCAAGGCGTTATTGTTGGATCCCTTGTTTGTTGAGCTGCATGTTCGGGTGATCGTCGCTCCTGCGTTTCCCCAAAGTGATGGCTGTATACTAGTTATCTCTTTATTTGCGTTAGCGGTGTTCGTAACAGAAGAGACCGCAAGGGTGGCCTACCTGCTGACCTTTGCAGCAATCTCTGCAATTGTGACTGATGTCCCAGTGGACTTGGGCTCGACAAGAGACATCTGAGCTGCAGATGCAGAAGGCTGGGGTTTGGCTACCCCCGCCTTGTTGATCATATAAGTTATTGAGACCGGAGAAATTTGATCGACCACACGTTTCGGGTAGTGCCTGATGTTCATTGTCCTGTAACGCTTGACTATCAGAGCTGCGGTCTATTTTCGCCTGACGTTCTGTCAAAGTTAGGGGAGACAACAGCGATGGAGACCATGTCGATCGTATTTCAGGGGAAGCAAATTGTACACTTGTACTAGTTCAGCCAAACAGTGCCATATCAGAATTCATAGTCTTCTCTATGCTCAGTATTTAACCGGGATTAGTTTCCACCGAGAAAGCTTGCTTGCTTTATTTAGATATTCTACTATCTGTGGGATAAAGAGCTGCATTTGCGCTAGGATGTTCAGTACATGTGGTTGTGAGATTAATATCTACACGTGAGAATCTTAATTGGAACTATTGCAAGTGACCAGAGGTCGTAGGTCAGCTACTCTATGTGAGTGTTAAAGGATGAATGGACGTTTCACCCGAAATATCATCGATGTTGAAGCCAGCCCCAGTAGCTCGGATGTCAGATTACGTACCTTTGGTAAATATTACGGGTGATCATATGATTAACGAAATGAAAACGAATCTAAATATAAGTTCAGTTCGGAAAAGTTTCCTTTAACAAGGGAATACAGCGAACACCACAATGCACACGGAAGAGCTGTGTTTGAAAACGCTAGGTAATTGCTTCCAACGGCTTGTAAACACATAACTCAAACTTTTACAATGTGCCACGACCTAATAATGATTCAAACTCGGAGATGTTCCGTCTGTCTAGAGTATCACTATACCATCTTCTGATGATGTGCACATTTATCGGTGGCCAATAATTACATCAACCGGTTGCAACCAGGTACGGCTCGTGTAGACTTCTACCGGTGTTAGGTCCGTTTACAAAATTATTCATGCTTTTGGAATTGCACCTTTTAGTTAACCTACATAGCATAGTCTAATTAACACATCATGTTATCCGCACAGAATGTAAAACAGCGTTTGACCTCTACCCATAAGCATGCTGCGCCCATCACTTAACCATGGGAGATTGAGAAAGTACTTTTCCTCACACCCAGTAGCAAAAGGGAAACACATCTCGCCAGAAGACGCATCGCTCAGAACTGGACAACCGGACATCTGACACGCAGGTATTCATGCACGTTTCCAGGGCTCGCCGCGGCCGTTGTACGCAACCCCACAGGATCCGACTTGGACACAGGCATCGTAGAAACACACGCGACAAGTCACTCACTTCTAGGTAGCATTAGTATCTGTAAAATAATATCATGTAGCTTATTGTACTGATGATGTCCAAGCGGCTGAAACTGCAGCCTAGTGCTTTTCCGGGCATGTGCACGACTAGCTGCTTTGGAGGCTGATTGTGACGAACCTCAATTATCTACTTATATGCGTCTAACCGTCTTATTTTGTAACTAGTCTCGATTTAAGCGGCACTGATAACGGCTGCGAAGTGAAGCTATTGGAGTGTATGGTTCCGTGGTAGTTCCATCACGCTCTTAGATCTCTCAAATGAAATGAAGCGATTGGTATATGTTTAACTGTCACTCAAGATGGCAATCAAGCATACTGCTTGCAAACCAACGACAAACCCCACCGCTGGTAGCACTGAAGTCCAATCGGAATGCTTGACGGCCAGTCAAAACAGGACTGAGGAATTAAGCCCGGAATGTAATGATGTGAAGGGCCGTCAGCAACTTCGTGACTCTCTTGCCTAGCGCTGCTACACATCGACAGACCTCAGTGGGCATGAAAGGGCTCAAAGGAATGACCACAACTCCTACCGCGTATGTGTGTTGGAGGTACAGATATACAGAAATAATGTAAACGTGCGAAACGCCATAGTGCTACGAGTAAAGGTTAAAACTGAAAGCCAACAGTTGAAGTGACCTGAGCATGTATTGCACATCTGCTGGTGTTGGGTACCAAGGACAATCCACGTGCGGTTCCTGAAGTAGTTTGACAAGGAACGCCTGAGGATAGTTGCTAAAACGACTTTCTTGTGTAAATAATGCAACTGGCGGGGACTTTAAATCGGCCGTGGCCTTTTTCACCGAACAGCATTTTTACATTATTGCACGATTGCACCATTACGCTGACAGATAGTTTGTTCAATAAACTTCCAAGGCCACTGAGGTTCTTTGCTCCATCCAACTTTGAACATATACGCGAGATATCACGAACGATCCGCGATCTATTATCTGGACATAAAATCCTACGTCAATTGAAACGAATACTGAAGAAACTTTTGCATGAAACTTTTTCCCTTTTCAATAGATACAAATCCTGAAGATTTAGTCAAGCTTTTTGGAATCATTGCTTGATCGATCAATGACAGTGAATCCTCATTTTTCTATCTATTGTAAACTTTACATTTTTAATGGTAACCAATTATTGAATTTACGGTTGATAATGTAAATACTGAAAATGTACCCTTTTGGGTACATAAAGCTTATACTGACTTGAATGACTTATCTTGACACTCAGACGAGAAACAATGAAGCTACCCTGGTGTTGTGCGCTGAAAAGGACACATTTCATCTGGATTATCGTCGTCATCATCGTCACCAAATAGCACCAAGATTGAGATTCAGGGTAGAGGAGAAAGAATTGGATATTCTGGGTGAAAGAAAAGTCACTTCTATCCGATTTATCACACCTGTGAAAGTTGGATGAGATACAGCATGGCTAACATCATGCAACTTGACAGCTTGTCACCTGAAGCTGGTGCATACGGCGGCCGCTGTAGTCCCAACGCCGGTAGTAAGGTGAAACTGTTTGGGTGGCGAGTTGGGATGGACAGATCAGAGCGAATGGTGAATACGAGGACTTAAAGCCGTGGTAATAAAGAGTTCGATTTTTCTGGTATGTTTTGCTTAGCACGTCAGCTAACTACTGAGGTGGATAATAGCTACATAGGATAAAACAACTGAAAACGATTGACAAGTTTTCATATTGGAGTACTGCGCAAAGGTGCAGTGTGGGTGTCGAAGAGCAGAGCATCAAAAACAGAGTCCCTGCTTGGACATAAAATTTGGTACGGACATTAGACTCACCAAACGTCTCGATTCTGGTGGCTTCTTTAGTGGAGAGAATATAAAAGCAAAGAGGACAAAGGCGGAGATTATTGGCTATTTTGCCAGCAAATTGGTAAACAAAAGGTCAGACGTGTTGCTTGTTAGGGAGGGAGGGAAGGAGGGATAACGTAAACAATACGCAATGACGGTTGGCGACCACATGGTGAGATAACCGTATGCACCAACGTCCCTGAATTCAAGGCAAACATTTTAGAGGAAAACAGTACGACGGTCTAAACCAGTGGAATTTTGTGTAAGATCGGATCAGTGTTCGGATCAGGCCGACCAACTTAACGCGCGTCACTAGGAATTCAAACGATCCACTACTTTGAGTCCCGACTAATACGAGTAACAATGTAATCCCCAGATGATGTCGGGTATTTGTCGACAAGTCACTTCCGAGGTGAGGACGGTTGGATACTGTTTTCCGGATACTCTATGGAGCGAACGTAAGCGGGAAAAATGCAAAAAAACCCACACAGATGGTAACAGAAGAGTCATTTTCGTTCATGGCGTGACCGAACTACCGACATGTAGCGACGAGGAAGTCCACACTCATGACCTGGAAGAACGGTGGTTTATTCATGAAAGTTCCTCTGCTGTTGATGTCGGAGTTCTGTCTAATTACAGACTACTTGTGTTGTCTCACTATAAAAGCAATGAGCCGAGGACACCAAAAGTTGTGATTCAGTTCCAAAAGAAGACAGTGAAAATAACACCTAGCTGGTGTAAACTGCACAACACACTAACATTGGAACTACGATTAAAGGTAACCATTAGACAGCAGCCACCTGACCTCATCGAAGATAAGACACTACCCTAGACACAATGTAACTAAAATACGGAATCTAAAAACAATGTGCTCAGACCGGTAACCCTTGCGAACGCTACCACTAGGCTAAACACCCCACAAAAGGATTGGTGTCGGCCCTACGTTAGTCGTCATAAATTCCCACTCTGCTTGCCAATCTTTATGGGGTCTAAGAAGAAATCCTGCATGTGTGCTAATGTCCAATGCCTACTTAACACTAAATAAACTGCGACTTCGTCAATGACAAAAAGCGTGTGACCTTCTCGCTGTAACGGAGACAATTGTTACCCTCGACATAACTAACATCGACGTCGCGCTGCCAGGAATGTCTGTGGCTCGGTACGACCGACCAATTAAAGGGACTGGAGTGGCTGTGTACTTCCGCAGTGACCTCCAATTTGAGTCCATAGAGGAGTCGGTCAATTCGGTGCAGGAGTCCCTTCGGTGTCGTCCACATTTAAGGGGCGGTGATGCTTGTCTGGTGTCTGTCATGTACCGCCCTCCATCTTCCAGACCCGAGATAGATTTCAATCTGGCATCTGCACTGAGACGCGTGATAAACAAGAAGTACAGCCACATTACTATAACTGACGATTTCAACATCCACGTCCGGGAATTCCAAGACGCCCCTGTAGAATAGTTCAAAGCAGGTCTACAAAAGGTTTTTTCCAGTTTACCACTGTATGGCCACTTCAACATTCCCACTAGTTCCAGAGAGGTAGATAGACTGTCTACACTGGACCGGATCTTCACCGATGAAGAATTCATGATAGAGAGATTGATCGTCGACGTCTCTTTGTGCCGCAGTGATCAAATAATCATTCTCTTCGAAGATACCTGTAATGCAGAATATCCTGTAGAATTTGCCGAATCAACAAAGGCTATCATACACAAGGACGCTTTAACTCGACTTGCTGAGACCACCAACTGGATCTTACTGCAGACGAAGCACCAGCTACTGGATAGCACTATTTTGTCGGCCAGTTTCACAATGTAGTTATGAAAGAAGGATAAACTAAGGCTGTCCATTAGAGGAACCTGCTCTCAGTTGTACGAAGCAGGACACGTATGTGTATAGCAGTGAGGAACTCGGCCTGGTATATCTATAAGAGCCTTCTGAACATACAGGGTTACATGGCTTCCGTGGCTCGGCGTACCAATGTATTCAGTTTCTTCGTTAGGATACAGTGACATCACAGGCTACTTTATAAACAGCCTGGGGAAGGTGAATCGCGGAGTTCCTTCTGCTCAAATAGCAGATGGATGGACACTATGAAGGATCCGGCGAATGCTCTGAAGAAGCAATATGCTCCAGCCATTCGGCGCGCTCATCGGTGATTTAGCCCTAAGTCAAGTGGTGCTGAGTCATAAAACACTCATGTAGCCTTTAGGACAGAAAGATTACTGAAAAGGTTGTTGTGTATGCATAAACAGCTCTCCTAGAGTGGGTAAAATGCACCCGATGCCTACTGCATTGGTAGGAAAGAGCTTCGGTGAGCTATTCGCTCGATTTTCCAGCGATGTTTTAATGAAATGTATCTACCCGGCATGTGGAGACATGAGATTAGAAGCCAATTCACAGGATAAGTAATCGTTCAGGCCCAGCCAAATTTCGTTCAACAACTCTCCTACCAATAGTTTCAGAGGGCACGGAATCCAACGTAGCCTATGTCCCAACGACCCAACGGAAAAAGTCACCTACCTTGCACAGGGAAAGCATGGTTTCTGACGAAATCGGCGGTAAACTACCAATCTTCTGGTAGCACGATGCAGCTGGACGAAAGCCGTAGACACTCGTGTAGAAGATTCGTCGCAGCTATACACAATTGAACCGGCATCACAAATCCAGGAAAGCGTTAGACGGCCGGTTCGTCCTATTGGAACTCGGCAGTAGCGCGTACACACAGGCTTCAAAAAAAGCAATAAATTCCCCTCACGAGTCTGCAGTAATCGCCTTAGCAGCTTGCGTGCCAACTCGATTAGTGACGGTTTGAAAAGGAAGTCGCAGCCCTGTCACCTGCATGTTCTTAAACTGCATGACAACGGAAAATGAGCCGCGCTCTATCACAGCTAGAAATCAGTCATGGCGGTCCTCTGCCGTCACCGATGGTTTAGTGACATAAGCCGCTGACTGGTAAAAGTAAGGTTATGGGTTCGAATCCTGCAGGATCCGGAGGGTTCGTCCCATTGACGAGTCACAATAGAACGATACCGCCGTCTGACCTTTTCATAGATGTGTGGTGGCTGTCTGACTGAGTCTGGTTGTAATGAAGCTTCCCAAAAACACCATAAATCCCCACACTACCACCAATAGGTGAAGGAGTTGATATAATTATCACGACCCTTCAACGGCATTCAGCCGGTTAAACCATCGAACCCTACTTTTCAAAATCCAGAGGTTCAGCATCGGTGATCTTCTTTTTGGGTGGGTAAGGATCACCTTCCGTTAAGGATGTGTCGATCCCTGTCGGACCACATCCAAGTCTAATGTAGGGTGCCACAGTGATCATTACTGGGGTGTCAGTTGTTCTTGATGTGTATCAACGATATAACGCAGTTCATAAGTTCGAACTGTTCACTATAAGCTGATGACCTCAGATGGTCCTACAATATTTCAAGCCGATCTGGATAGGGTTTGTGGATGGTCACTTTAAGAAGTACTTCGGATTAATGTGGAATAATATATAGTACTACACGTACGGCACCAGTTAGCGTACGGTTTTAAACTGGGCAACCGGGAGCTTCAAGCGTTTTCCAGCGAAAAGGCTCTAGGCAATTTGATCCACGCCAACTTTGGGTATATGAATAAGGCTGAAAAAGCACCAGGAACGGGTATTCAAAACGTGAGTCTTCTGTGGCACGCATTCAGACGCTTCGACCGTTTGGCAGCTTCTCAGCGCATATATAAAACCACGTGCGAAATATGCAGTAAAGTTCTGGCAGCCATGCTCGAAAAGAAATCACATTGTTTTAGAGATATGACAAAGCCGGGCAACAGAAAGTCAAAGGTTTGTACCATTTGCTTTATGAACCAAAGCTGAGAGTGCTCGGGGTTCTCGGCTGACGATACCGGCGATTGCGTTGGAACCTTATTGTGAATAATCATATTTTGAGGGATCCCAACCGCGCTTGCAGCCATCTACTAGGGCTAGGTCATAACAGCAATCTGAGGGGCCACCAGCTCAAGCTGGTGGAGCAGGGATTTTTTCTGTACGTGTTTGCCAAGCATGGAGTGCCCTCCTGGAACTTGTCATCTGCACCGCCCCCCTTGGTAGTTTAAAGCCCGAGCTGACTGTGCACTCATTTCGCTATGAGATGACTCATTGTCCATCGCGAGCGTCTGCCGAGATTTCACTGCCTGTCAACTCCCAGAATAAGTTCAGCATTTTCACTTCTTGCACCTCTTCTCCAACATCCCATGTGCCATCACTTTATGGATTTACAGTGAATCTGCAGTTTTTAATGTGCAGACTTCGGCTGGTCCACCGGTGTAAGCTTACGTTTTTATGGCACATATTTCACGACATTCATCCTGACCATCCTATGGGACCGGTTAAGATTTAGTTTTCAGTTCCTGTTAAACCATAGGTCCATTTCCGACAAAAGAATAAGGCACAACTCTCTCTAAGACACAAAGCTGGATAACTGCATAGATATCCATAATCTCCGCTAACTTGGACTAACGATCTGTTTGAAGCTTCCCTCTCCCCCAAAGCACAGTTAAAGTGCTGATTATATTGGTGATTCTTGTCCAGTTTCATCCTATATACTGTCATACACATGCTGTGTAATGCGGACACTCAATCATAACGTTATTAGCATTGAATTAAAAACGATTGGATCCGCTCCGACATCAAGTGAGTTGTTCACGAATCACGGGTCCGAAGACGATGCATCAATCCGCCACTACGGTTAACAACCGACGTGTGAAATTGTAACGCAAATCAAAGCGCCGTAAATCCTAGTCTCATAACTGCTGACCATTCGGTTCAGCACACGCATACGAACACGGGCTCATAGCGGCGCGAAGATGAACACGAGCGTTGAGCATCTGAAGCGAAATAGAAAAATCTAATCACCCGAAGGCGCTTCTACACAGCCTGACCGTTTGATTGTTGATTTTGTGTGTTTTGCCACTTGCATGGTACAACCGAGAGGATCATGCGCCCACAAACCGTTGTCACTATTGACCAAAGACTTCCACAGTAGACGCTAGCCTGGTCTGTAATAATTGGTGCTTCATTGTCCAATGGGTATCGCTCCACATTTATCAATGTTAAACGGCAGTAAGGCGTTGGGATGTGCACTGTTGCGTACTATTTAAATCTCACCAAATTATTTGTTGATCATCAATTATGCTAGTCCTTCACCAAAAGTGCAAGAATTCTGGAGCGGTTGCTTACGGAAAGGTATAATTAAACGCTAAAACATATGCATCGCCTTTGCACAGAGCTTTGCAGTACACCAATCCTGACTTGGGATGAATCAGAGGAAGACTGTCATATATGATTCATTAAATGCCGATAAAGAAGGAGGGTGGTAAACTAACTAAGGGGATCACCGAAGCTGTAATTTTGCGGGTTGGAAATTGTCGAGATAGCCATCCTAGAATCAAAACATAGACTGGGCAGATATCCAAAATTTGTCAATAAGGAATAAAAGGTCGTTATATACAATCTACAGATTTAAACCGCTACTTTAAGTGTAGCGCACTTTCACTGGCTGACCTTGCTAGTCATCTGCTTGAGGTCATTGGCTCGCTACTATCGTTCATTCGCTCTGGTTCGGACCCCTCCAGTCTTGGCTGGAACAAGGCTGTATTTTGTTCACAATACCCCAAACCGGTCCGTGCGAATGCGGTCAGCTTGAGTCAACAGCATTGATTGGCTTTAACCCGCCTGCCCCCTATGTCTCGTTCGCTCGGTCGACCAGCCACCATCGTACCGTGCGCTGTCCGCTCAGGATCCGTGTTTTGTGCGGGCAACGCTCTTGCCTTCGTACAGGACTAAAACCGTGTTTGACTCATCACAATGCAAACCAATTTTTCGCTGCTCAACCACCCCGTATGAGCGTGGTCAGTTAGCGCTGGCGGCGATGATTAGCTTCCCGGTCCTCTGGCAGCGTGTCGGTTTCGCTCGTGGTACTTGTCAGCCATCATCACAGAAAGAAAGATTTGTTGTTTCACCTAGTTGCATGCTTTCGAAAAATCTAGATAAAGAAAATGTACCCATCTTCCATTGTAATGTGACTCAAGTTCAAGTTCAGTTGGGACCGGAACGATAGGATAATCACGTGAATGTTCCTTCTTTTGCGTATCATTGGATCGGAAATTGATAGGACTGCTTGAGATGTTGAAAAACCTAAACCAGAGACCGCATCACACCCTGTCCAACCAATTACTGTCCACAATTACATGCCCAGTATTCCCTGCCAGGTCGGTTTAGGTGAAGTAAGAAAGGGTGAAGGGTAAGCTAAGAAAACAACATGAGGCATGTCAGCTAAATAAGAATAATAAAAAGGTGTGAGAAGAAATTTAAAAAAACGAAGGAAAGTTGAAGATCCAAATCGGTTAGGAGTTGGGGAATATTTGGTACTGCCAACAACCCCATATTATTGGCAGATTCATAGCGCACGATCGCGATTGACAAAACTTTGTTGCTCCGGGTCGTTATTGTTGCAGGTTTCCCAGTTGTTCGGCAAATTATCGGTAAGGTTGAATTCTTTGGTTTTGTACAACATTTGGAGAAGAGTCTCTCAGCAATCGTTAGTTCAATCATGTTTACTCTTTCGTAAATTGGAGCGCATATTCCAACATTATAAATGTCGTTAAAAAACTAAGCCATGAATTCAGTCAAGTCTCTGGTTGCCAATTCCAATATAACTGTACGGATGGCAGCAAGTTGACGTGAGCTGGACACTCGTATAGACGTCAGCGGTAATAGCCATGTGGTTGCGTACTTATGGGTAGGGCCTAAGGTTAAGGCACGTGATAGCACAAGTCATCGTTGTACGAGGGCTTGTGGCCCCTGAGGGACGTTAGTATTTTTTTTGACCGCGTTTCTCGGTCCATCAGCTGTAGAGTGGAGAAGACTTCTGTCAAGCCTTTCACGGACCACTGATATACCTGTGCAGCCGCATCGGTACAGTGTTATCTACATGATCCGCTGAACCGTTGCTTTGCCTTCAAGGAGAAATTGCGAGCGTAGAACATTCACGCATCTTGCTACAATGTGCATGTGCAGCCCGGAGGAGTAGTTTCAACTGGAACCAAAAAAGTCGCCCACATTGCCTTTAATCCTTTGCGTACAATTTTACCCATTATTCTCTAGTAACAGAATAACAGCGACTGACCACTGAACATAACATTAAGGATCCTCATTCTTTTTCTCCCTTAATGTGTGCCGTTAGCACAGTTGAGGGCCACGATCTTTATCGGGGAACCAGAATGTCCGCGTGTGCTTTTCAAGCCATTAGCTCGCCCACAATCATGGATCGCAGCTATCCTATCAGTGGGAAATATAGCATCGAAAGTTTAAGTGGAACCCGTGTACAAATAGTGGCGGACTGGAACGGATTTGCTTTTAGGAAAAACCAGACTAAACCAAATGCTTATAAACCAGTCCATTGGTAGCTGCTACAATCAAGCTGTTTCCCGTGGGCCACATTTCACTACCAGCAGCTGTATTATCAGGGTGAATAAGTAACAACCGACTAATGTTTCGACAAGGAGTGACTCACGAGTGCACTCGAAATAATAGCCTAGTGTCGGGAGTTGGGGCAACTGCATCCAATAGGTGGGATACTCGCTGGCCATTTTTGTTTTGTATACTGTTCCTCGTGCACTTTGATCTGAGTTAGTTTACATGAATTCGTCTGGTAAGCAACAGTGACCGAACATTACGTCAGCGCTTAGTAGTTAACGGCAAATGTTAACTAGGACTTGAGCTGTAAATTTTAACGGTACAAAAATCCTACTGCGAAACACAGTAATGAAGGTGAAACACCTAATACAAGTCGTAGTGACCCAGAGCTGACAAGGAAATAGCTCGCCTTGACCAAACGACGTTGAATGCTCATTTGAAGTGATTCGGTGATGCATTGTCACCTGAAGCCAACTTCACAAGCTGACTCGTCCCAAGAAAGATGAAAATGTGTTCAGGAGGCACAGTTGAGGCACTGTGACTATTTTTATATAACTTGTATACTGAAAATGATTACTCGAAATTGATTAAGGGTAAGCCTGCATGGACTGATGGTATTCGATTCATTGGAAGGGAATTGCAGGGATACAATGACCAAGCTTAAAAAGGTAGGGATAAAGGGACAAGCAAGGAAATTCTTTTTTCTCCCTCAAATGTCATTGCTGCCTCTCTGTAGACAAATGTTAAAAATGTTTATACATGAGTTGCCATCTTATGTCAACTAAACAACTTGGTCCTGTTGGTAAATTCTTATAAGAAAAACGCAAAGGTGCTCCACAAAGGTGGACAAAAACATCACCCTACTTAGCTCATGTGTGAGACAAGGGAAACTAGAACTACAAATATCGCAGTAAATAAATCGGATCTAACGATATCCATGACATCTTGGAAAACCCCTTATTGATACAGCTTTCAAAGTGGTTATTGTGTCGTTTACGTGTTCCACCAGAGGAAAAGCACTAAGTCATTAAAAACGTGCAACCACAAGGAAGGTATCAGAAGAGCCTGAATTGTTGCTTACCATTATTTGTTCCAAAAGTCAGTAAACCAAACACCACAACCATTAGACATCGTCGGAGACTACGCCACCTGCGTGAGCCCTTCAGCATGGAGGAACGCATTCTACTGCGGCAGAGTGTAGCGGGAGCTCACGCTTCAGTACTGGTGAAATTCCAACCAATGTAGACGAATGAAAGTATATATAACAGCGTGAGTGACATCAGATAGATAAAAGTTTCTGTACAAGGTCACTCGCCTCAGCGCTACTGCACGCACCATTATCACGCCACACCTTATCGCAGTCACTTGTGGCCTAGAGGAATTTGGCTGAGTGCAACGTGACCTCCCGGAATTCTTGGCCTGAGTGCAAATAAAAGTGTGCCTTGCAATGCGAATCTTTTAAGCATTACAAGTGGATAGGTTAATCGCTGTGTCTGATTTTCTGAATGGAGCAAACAAGTATGTCGGGACTCAGTTGAATGGACGCCTTTGAAATGGTGGCGCCATACATTCTACCGGAAATCTATCTGACTGAATGAACTCTTTACTGTATGCTACTAGAATTTCAGCATCCTTCCTGGACGGAAATAGTTGGGGTAGCTTGTTTGTGAAAGCGACTGTCCTTGGGCTATTGTAGGAAACTGCACACAGCACATGCAGCCCGAAACCAACGCCATTGCTTAATCTTTTGATAAAATTGTGTTCATCTTGCAATAGTTCTTAATACGAGTAGCTCAAGTTGGCGGTTAAGACTTAATTACTTTTCCGAACTGAGCATTTGTACTGTAGACGTTTCACCGACAAGAGCAATGGCACCTTCACTGCGTAATAGCAACTAGCTTGTTAGCAGTTTCTGGATTTCGAGCAAATCCAGAGATGGCTCGGTCTCTCCGTTAAGAAAATAGACTCAGATTCAAAAGAAGGTGTAAAAAAAGAGCGAGAAGAAACCATCCTCATAAACAGCGGCGATCATCTGTCCAATCAGCGGGATGCCAAACTACCATAAGCCATAGACATAAGTCTCCTTTGAAAACCCATGAAATATATAGCACACTATTCTATGGTGCAAAGGATACTGGGATAAACCACACATAACTCTCAGGTACGCTCCCTACTAGATGATGCGTGGGAGTTAACCGCTTTATATATATATATATATATATATATATATATATATATATATATATATATATATATATATATATATATATATATATATATATATATGGTGAGCGGCATCCGGTTTCGGATTTGCCTGTCACTGTGGCCAGCCACAGGACGCCTGCGCCTACAGAGGGACCACGGGTGGCTTGCGCTGCACCACCCACAGCTCCAACCACATATCCCATATCCAGTGTAAACCCGAAGGAATAAGACCGGGAGGCATGTGGATGGGAGCCACGTTTCATTAACGGAGCCGGCCCACACTCCTTCACAGGCAAACACAAGCACGCTGCATTTGGGTATCAAGCGCACCCAAGGCCGTGGCTGGACCGTAGTCCGCTCCACACTGAGTGCATGGAACCACCCTTCGAGCCCAGCACGATCACAAGCACCGTGCACCCCGTCCCCTCCAGCAACGACCAACTATCTCCTAGAGACAGTATGGATGAGGTAGTGGGTAATAGACAGGTAGACACCTTGTCAACATGCACATCAAACGCAGCCGCACCGGGGATGTCAAAAAGCAGCCAATCACTTGAAATGACAGTAACAAATAAAATATATCTGTTAAAGAATACGGCTATGTAGACATAACTCCTCACTAAATTAGCATATGAAGTATGTTGGTTAGCAACAAATCCGCGATAAGTAAAAAAATGCCCAGAAGTGACTCAGAAAATGTTACAAACGCAATAAAGTTAGCAAAGATAAGCACAATCACCGCAAGCAAAGTGGAAATTTAATAGAAGATTAATCCGGTAGGCAGAAGAAATCAGATGAAGTGGAATGAAATTTATCCAGCTTAAAAAGAGACCTAGTTTAAGTGTAAGTTGGTTTAGCCTAACTGCGATGAAGAAGCATCATGAAGGCAAAGTCAGCCTCATCATATATATATATATATATATATATATATATATATATATATATCTGTGACATCAGGCTTTGGATTTACCTGTCACTGTGGCCTCTATAGGAAAGCCGCAGGTCGCCTGCACCTATAGGGGGCCCATGGGTGGCTTGCGCTGTATCACTCACAGCTCCATGCACACACCACATATGAAGTGTAAACCCGAATGCATAAGACCGTGAGGAGTGCGGACAGGAGCCACGTTTCATTTACGGAGCAGGTCCACATACCTTCGGAGCATCTATGACTAATTGGGAAATTATGCGTACCAAACGTGCACAAGGCGGTGACTAGGCAGTAGCCTGTTCCACACTGGATGGAACCACACCTTGAACCTAGCACGGTCACGAGGACAGTGCACCCCGCCCTCTCCAGCAACTACCAACTGTCTCCTAGTGCCAGTATAAACGAGGAGATGGGTTGTAGACTGGTAGGCACCTTGTCAACATGCACATCAAGCGCAGCGACACTGGGGATATCAATCATCAACCAACCACAGCAATGTAAGCAATTCAACACGCAGGCACACGTACAGACAAACTGCGTCGACGATGTAGCACATATACCACATCCACCGAGTTGTTGGCCTGAGTTAGTAAACCGAATGGATGCAGACGCTGCTCACCTACCAATTGCTGCGCTGCTTATGCCTAGCAAATCGGTTGGCTCGTCGTCTTGTGGTTGCTGGCCAAACGTGGCCAAACTGGTGGCTTAGCAAGCCCGCTTAACTCAGGCACTCGATAGTGAATGTGCTACAGCACCATGTGCTCGACGTCGATGGCCTAGAATCCATCGGCGCCAGTCGCCTGCGTACCCGGCGTTTCTCCACCACGTGCAATAGCGTTTTCTCCTGAACTTGGGCAAATGCCCGTTTGATCGGCTCACGCCATTCTTGCCCATCAGCAGGCTTTGCATCCAAACACCTGGAATAAATATTGGTTGGCGATAAAATCACCTTGATCATATCCTGGAAACGCCGTTTCGGTTTGCTGGCGTGCTGTTTCCCTGCAGTATGTTGACCGTACAAAAGCTGCTTGGGTATCCTCGTCGAATTCAGTCGGCTGATAAGCTTCCGCCTCCTCAGGTGTTGTAGTTGCAGTATGCAGCCCACTGCATACATGCCACTGCGGCGTAGCACTTCCGAATCTGCAACACCGTCGCACCAACTAATGCGCAGAGTCCGTCGCAGACACAGTTGATGAAATTGCTCCAGATACTTGACGTCCTTCTTGTACAGCTTCTATGTTTCGCTGCTGTGCAGCAGAGTGGACAACAACATCAGCTTGTACATCATCAGGTTCATTCCAACGGTAAGCTGGTGATTGTACCACACATGTTTCTTTATTTTGCCAAACACAGCAGCCACCTTCGATACATGGATTGGCAGCTCGCTCATCATCTACAGGTCGGTTGATTTTACGCTTCCAGGATAGCAAAATTTCGATACTGTTTCAAACGCGTCATCGGTAACTTGAACGTAAGGCAATCTCACGGACACCGCTCCTGACGAAAGTTGGAAAAGACAAACAGTATCTTTGTGTTGGTGGTGGGTCCGAACTTGGCCGCTGTCGAAGCGAGAGCTGAACGCTTGTGCTGCAGCTCATCCGCGTTGTGTACAAACAACGCACAGTCGTTAGCAAACAGTAACATCCGGATGATACACTCATTCATTGGGTTCTTTGAGTTGTATAGGGCAGAAAGAAGGAGCCATGTTAGCCCCATCTCCTCCAGTTCAACACTAAGACCACTTATGTCGCCACGACCCGGTAGTCCTCAGGGAACCGGAGCAATCGCAGTAGGACAATGCAGCCTTGGTGTCCTGCATAGGTGAATATCTAAGAGCTGTTTGAAATTTTCCTCGGTCGTCGCAACAACAGCAGTTGTCGATAAACCATTCCAGACCTTCACTACTCCAGTGGAGAGTGACAGCGGTACTGACTGTGAGCATCCTGGGTTTGAAATCGAGTCTCCATGTAAATCACTGTTGATCCTAGCCTTTTACAAACTAAGCCGAGGCAACCGCCTGAAACTTATGACGCAACACTCTAGTCTGCATTCTAGAAAGTAGTTTTACTCACTTAGAATCTGCTCACTGGAATGTATTACCAAGATATGTGGTGAACGCAATAGACATGACGACATTCGAAAGACTTAGACTTTCATCTTAGTGATGAACGCTACATAACAGTCTGATAAAGTGTGATGGTTTAACCACTGATACTTCATGTTCCACGTTGGAACAAGTTGAGTTTAATTTTCTTTTGCATATCCATCCTGTGGGTCTTGTAAAGTTATGCTTTTTATCCTATCATGCACCACTGAACTATTGAATAGCTTCAAATTTTGATCTGCTTAGAGCCATCTATTTTGAGCTGAAAAAGCTGCCGTGGCTCGTTCTTAAGTTCCCCACTTAGTATGCGCCTAGTAAAGACGAGGTCTCCACGACAGCGACGGTATTCCACAGAGAACAAATTCATCTCCAGAAGCCGTAAGGGTAGTGAAGATCACGAAGCCTGAAAACTGACTTGGAGCCAAGCCTCCGAACCTTTTCGATTAAGGCACTTTCAAGCTTAGACAGTGGGAATGTAGCCGGTAACCCATACTCTAGAAGTGGTCGTACATGGTAGGTGAACAGGAGCTTGAATGTCTTCTCTGTCATTCGAAAGAAGGATCTTCTGATTGCACAGCATATTCTGTTTGTAGTGAAAACCTTTTCAGTGTATCTTGTGCGGTTTTTAGGTCAGGTGCTATTATTACGCCTAGATCTTTCTCCTGAGCGGCGTGTCTGAAAGGGAACGCACCAATGTGGTAAGTTCCAAGTGGCACAGAAGCCCCGACCGGTCGGGCGCAGCATTTTTCGTAATTTATTGGTAAGCCCCACTTGATGGGCAAGTTATGCTATAGATCTAGGGTCACTTGTGATCGATCAGCGGCATCAAAGTCAGGCACTTCTGACCACAGCTTTAGGTCGTCGGCATAAATCAAGCATTTGGTTTAGAGTGTTGTAGGAAGATCATTGCTATACAGCTTGAATAGTTCGGGTCCAAGGACGGATATAGTGGAATACGGCTTGTCTCGAGTATTAGCTTCGAAAATGTCTCTTTT